CATCATGGGGGGATGCTTCACGGCAGCAGACCATGGAAGGCTCAAGAATGCATCAAAATTTAGAGAAATCCTGGACGTCAACTTGATGCAGTCTGCAGGAGAACTGAGACTTGGGAGAAGATTTGTTTTCCAGCAAGACCATGACCTGACGCGTACAGTCAGTGATACACAAAAATGGATTAAAGACAACAAGTTGAATTTTCTGGAGGATGAGTCAGAACCCAGACCTCAGTCCAGCTGAACGTTTGTAACTTGCAAAGGGCTGTTCGCTCACGATCCCGTCTAACCTGAAGGGCTGAAGCAGTTTTGTAGGATGTGGTAAAACTGCAGCGTCCAGATGTTCAGAACCGACTGAGACCAACAGAGGATCAATGGTGTGGTGCATCAACTAAATACCCACATGAAGGGGTTGAATTCTTATGCAATGACTTTTAACTTTTAATTAAGTGACATAAAAAAGTGTGATTTTTTTTTTGTTAGTTTTTTTGTCTCAACAACCAAAAGTAATATCGACCATGTTCAGGGTTGAAAAGCAGGAACAGGAAAACTTGTCAGGACGGTGAATACCTATTATAGTGCAAAAAGAAGCTAATAAAAACAAAAAGGACAGTATGCATAAATAAGTGGACCTCCCTGGCTGTTAACCTTTATATACTTGAATGTGAGGCTGTTATTTATGCTCTCAGTGAGGCAGATTACAGGCAGCGGTGTGACGGCCACTAAATCTCAACTCAAATTAAAGAGACTCTCGTGTTGAAACTTGTCCTTTCTTGGCTCCCACAGAACAGCAGCAACTCTCCGGGTCCGACGAAGGGTCCGACCGTCGCGGCCCGGCTCAAACACCTCCAGCAAGGCAGCCTGGAGAGGCCCAAGACCCGCAAGCAGAAAGAGGATTTCCCCAAAGTCCAGGGCCAGCAGCAGGTATTCCACTTCTAAAACCTCTGACGCTCCGTCTGCCTCTTCCTCTTCCTCTTCCTCTCCGCCGTCACTTCAAAGGAAGCTTTTTCCCCTCTGCGACTCCTGCGAGACGAGAAAAAAAAAAAACAAACTGCATAGGCCGAACCAGCAGACGATGCGAGATCACACACTAACCGGAGGGGGAACTATCTTCAGATTTTTACCACTTCTTGATGTGTGTTTTGACATTTGAGTTACTGGATCTAACCTAGCTTGCTTAGAGATCAAGTTTTTCTGTCGTACGAGTCTGTCGATGTTTTGATTTCCTGAGGAAGGGTCTTGGTGGTGCTTGTGACTGATCAAACTAGCTTTATTATAATAGTCTCTTCATCCCTTTTTGCCTCCATCGTGCGGAATAATCTCCAGTAATGCCACGGAGCGATTTCACATCTCAAGGTCAAAGTGAGGATGTGTCACCCTGATCCAGCTTCCATGTTTTCTCTCCCCTCATCTCTCCGTCTTTTCATCCATTAATCACCTCGCGCTGCTCCTTTTTCTATCGCCCATCTTTTAAAACCTCGAGGTTAGCAGGCAGCGGCAGTCCAACGGCGTTTCAGACGTCGGCGTTCTTTGGTGATAAACAGCCCGAAAGGTTCACGTTGCAGCCGAGAGGCCAGTCCATTAAGCTGCTTTTAACAGCTGTAAGGTCGTGACTCGATGCGTAAGACGACGAGAGGGAGGAAGAAGGTGGAAGGTCACAGAGAGACGGTTTTGTAGGTTTTAGTTTCACGTCTGCAGGGAACAAATTTAGGAGGAGAGAGAGAGGAGCATGGCCGGGCAACAGAGTGCATATGGAAGCAAAGGAAGGGTTTAAACCTCATAGCGCTTTATCTGATTGTTTAATGCAAAGCTGCTGAGTTCAACTCTAAACTCTAAACAACTTCCAGGAGGTTGCTCTTTTTTTTTTTCTTCTTCAAAATGCCGACATTCAGAAAATGTGTCCAGTGTTAAAAAGTCGGATGCAAGTTGGTTATCGTCACATCTAAAATTTAAAATAAAAAAAACACATAGTTGAGTTTGGATCGATTAAATGTAGGCATCAGAATTTAAATTAATTAAATCTTTAGCCTCCATGCTGTGGAATATTTACATATGACTGTGTCTAAAACTATTAGACTTATTTGAAATAAGTAATTAGTTAACTTTTTTTTAATATTATTCGTTTGATCTAAAAATGTCCTTAAATACAGAAAAACTGCACAATTTGACCATTTTCAAGACGCCGTCTTCCAGTGTTTAGCCCAAAATGCAAAAATACTCCCTTTATACATGTATGCAACACAGACAAGCACCGAGGGAGATTTTTTTTTTTTTTTTAAATATTGACAGAATAGTTATCTATGAACTTATTTTGTCTCTAACTGAGACATTTCTAACATTCGTTTGCTTCCACAGACGCGCTGCTAATCCCCCGTCTGCACACACACACACGGAAACTTTCTAGAAACTTCCAGACTCAGCTGTACTTTTAAATGAGGAAGCAACAAACTGCAAACAGTTTCACTTGTTTTGGTTCTGTTGGAGTCAGCAGCGACTTTAACGATGCACCAGGACTCCAAATGAAAAGATTCACATACGGATCTTGTCTCCTACGAGTCCGAGGACGCTCATTTCAGTGCGTTTCTGAGTTACATAAGTTGGAAAGTATTTTGTGAGTATTTGTTTAGCAGGAAGCTCCAAACTTCAGCGCTGACAGCTGAGACCGGCTGACCAGAACACTCTCCTGGTTTGATCAAAACAGCTTCACTGGTGGATTTCCACAGTCAACAAATCACAGTTTTATTATTTTCCCAAAGGACGTCTGTAATGCTGGTCCAAGCTCGTCTGACTCACTACTACTGGATCTCGTGCCATATTCTCATTTTTCACTCTCCTCGTGTCTGCATTTTCAAAATCCAGTTCACTACAACCTCCAAGCTGCAGCCGACATGCTGAATAGTTTTAGTTTCCATCCATCCGAGGCTGTTCTGTCGCAGTGCGTTTAGCGAACCCTCTGGACCCTGAGCAGGTTCTGGGTTCTTTGTTAACTCACTGCAATGTGAAGCCAGAACTGAGAAATGTCACAGTTATAACAAACCATAAACAACAAAACAAGAAATGAAAGTAGATTTTTGTTTCGTTTTGCCCACAGATGTTACCAGTGCTGGAAAAAAAATGTGCTGTGGTTGAGATTTAGAATTTCCAATACGTGACTTCTGTTGGCTTTGTGTGAACACTGCCTGCAGTTCAGCCGAAAACTCTCATAATGTTTATTTGATGCTGGCAGCTGAGTCACTGGAGGCTTTAAAGTTACACCGAGAAGCACAGAATTTATTGTTTTTTACAGTGCAAATGGATCGTTTATGGTGATTTTCTTTCATGACATGTTAAAAAAGAAGAAGCTGAAATTAGCTGAAAACATGAAACCAAAAAAATCAGTTTTTACACTTTGTTAATCTGCTTCATGATGTCATTTTGATGGTTTTTAAAAGTTAAAATGGTTTTTAAATCAGCATTTTGGGGTTCAGAGGGTTAAACTGTGACTTTGCCAAACCCTCCCATCTCTAGCTCAGGCACCAGATCACCGTGTACCGGTTTGATAGGACTCACAGTGTTTAAACCACCAGTCTGCTGCTAAACACACTGTGAGCTTCAGAGAGGATGCAGGTCAGTGCGAGCAGCAGGTTGAAGTCAGTTCAGGCCGATGAACTCTTTAGATGTGAAGCTCCACTCGTCTTATCTGCTGCCTCGGACCTCGGCCACTTTCAGGAAATAAAAGAGAAGCACATCCAGCTCAGCCGGGCAGCCTCACCGTCACCCCCAGCCCTCGTCTCCGTTTTTAGCCTCGTTTGATTAATTAATGGATTTAACATGCATCAACAAGTGAAAGCAGCTCGTCCACACGCGCTGGTTTGAGGCCTCATGCATCAGAAGGGACGGCGTCTTTTTACAATACCTCATATTAGCAGGAACAGCCGTTAGCACATGGCTAACACGCCTGACCTCCACCTGACACGCGGCGCCATCTGGGCGACTTTCCTCCACAAACAGGCCGACGTTATTAACATTCAGGCCGACCGTGTCCTGAACTGGCCTGAATATTAACTCCTTTTTTGTTTTTTTTTTCCATTTCCATTTTCTGCTCGTTAAAAATTCATGATTTTATTCAGACGCAGCCTGAAAGCAAATATTATTTTTGCCTTTTTACACGGATGTGATTTGAGATAATGTCATCAAACACGGTGTTAATATTCTCGTCCATTATCCCGTTAAACTGTCATCACAGCATAAATTATCTGCAGAATTTGAGCTTAAACTCGCAGATGAAGGATTGTTTGGTTCAGTCGATGTAGAAGCATCTCTGTCACACTGTACTGCACAAGTGAAGCCCCATATAGGACACAGGTAAACTCATATATACATGAAGTAACGTAGATAGGATTATCTGCCATCTCTTTAACTGTATTATTATTTTGTAGGTTGTTTTTTTTGTTCACTTGTTGCCCTGTTTGGTTAAAGATGCAGTAAAATCCACTTCAAAGGCAAAACACATGAGCTACATGTTCATTAACAGCCTCAGTCTGACTTGTTTGACTGTGTAGAGAATTATTCTGGTATTAAAATGTGTAATTTCAGTAAAAACATGTCAGATTTGCAGTAAACTATGAACCGGAGCTAAAATCTAAAATCTTTTTTTGCGTAGCTGCTGCATTCTGGCTTTGTTTTCTGGTATCTCTGCGGCTAGCCTTAGCTAAAGCTAAAGCTAAAGTTGAACATATTCAGTTCTAACTGAAAGTCACCAATTTTGTTAAACTTTTAATGTTTATTTTGGCACATACAGTAACTAAGAGCGGCATTATTTTAGTTTAACGTTGAGTGCATGATGATAAAAACCACAAGTAAACACCTGCTAAAGCTAACCTGAAGCTAGCTAGCTAGCTTAGCGGTAGAGCGGCTAGGATTAATCGACCAGTCGTCAGCTGTGAAAAAGTTTGTCAGCTATTACTAATCGATTAATCGGTTTAAGATATATTTTAAAAGTAAAAAACTTTAAATTCTCCAATTCTAGCTTCTTGAATTTTACAATTTTCAAACTTTTCTGAGTTTTGGTAAAAACACATTTTAGAACGTCGTCTGTGGGAAACACTGATCGACATTTTTCACAATTTCCTGACGTTTTATGAACCAAACAACTCATCAATTAATCAAGAAATTAATATGCGACAACAGAAATATCCCAAAGTTACATCTCAGTAAACTGTTGACGACATAATCATAAATTGTTGATTTTTCTTATTATATTCACTTGAATATCAAAGGTAATAGTACTCAGATTGATTGCTGGAAGCTCTAGTCTAAAAGTAATGAAAATAAAGTTTATTTTATTGAACAATCCATTTAAAGATGGAGAAGAGCGTTGGGAGAAGAGCGCAGTATCTCCAGTTTAAAGGTTTTACGAAGGCTGTGTCAATGATTTGTGTAAAAGACAGAAAAGTGAATCCTTAAAGGAATAAAATTAAGGTATTGGCCACTTTTTTTTTCCCGATTACATTCTGTGTTTAGTGCGTTTTGCCTTTGAAGGCCGGAAACTTCACAAGCTGCCTGTGGAGATCAGCAGAAGTGCTGTTTGTTGGTTCTGCCAAAACAATGTGACCAAATCTGCCATGTGGATCGTTTCCTTGCCCTGTGCAGGTTTATTTCTTTCTTTTGTTTTTGTCGTTGCCAGTGACGTCGTTGCCGTTTGCGTGTTGTTTATTTTATGAGTTTGATGGAAAAGCTGCTGCTGTGCTGCATAGAACAGGCGGAGCGCTCTTAAATCCCTTTTCTTGGCCGGGCGGTGCAGCTGTCTCTGCTCGTCCTTTTGTTCCTCGGAGCCACAGATGTAGCGTCGTCCCCCCGAGGCTCCGGCGGCACCTTGTCACCTCAAACCGTTTTTCTTTTTATGGTTCGACTTCAGCTGTTGTCAAGCTCCGATTCTTCCCCCTTGTTCCTACACAGCT